ACTCGCGGAGTGACGGGGCAGAAAGCCGCCGCGCGCCTCGGGGCGCACGGCGGGCAGAAAACCGCCGCGCGCCTCGGGGCGCACGGCGGGCAGAAAACCGCCGCACGCTCCGAGCGCGCGGCGGGATGAAAAATTAGGGTTTCGCCGCCGCGCACCACGGGGCGCGCGGCGGACGGTACGGCAGCGGAAGCAGGTGGTGGGCCCATGGAGGTAAGCGGCAGGAACGTACTCGCTCTAGATACCATGTTAGAAACAATAGGAGTGGGGCCTAGGCTTAGTAGCCTAGGCCCACACTAGGAGGTAGTAGGTTGTGCCCTAGGACTAGGGTTTGTGGTATACGAAGGAGAATTGTGAGAATGAGAATGAGGTGATTGAACTAGCAAGAGTTGGGATACAAGTAGGAAACCCTAAAGGGTTGTACTCACTGTTGAGTACCCCACTGCAGGCTAGACAAGTAACATTCTGACATTTCGCGCGCGCCCGCTCCCAACGCGCGCGCCCGAAACGTCTCCCCCCCGAAGCGTCTCCCCTTTCGCGCGCGCTCGCTCCCAACGCGCGCGCCCGAAACGTCTCCCCCCGAAACGTCTCTCCTTTCGTGTGCGCCCGCTCCCAACGCGCGCGCCCGAAACGTCTCCCCCCCCCCCCGAAACGTCTCCTTTTCGCGCGCGCCCGCTATCAACGCGCGCGCCCGAAACGTCTCCCCCCAAAACGTCTCCCTTTTCGCGCGAGCCCGCTCTCACGCGCCGCCCGAAACGTCTCCCCTTTCACGCGTGCCCGCTCCCAACGCGCGCGCCCGAAACGTCTCCCCCCCGGAACATCTCCCATTTCGAGCGCGCCCGCTCCCAACGCGTTCGCCTGAAACGTCCCCTCCCCGAAACGTCTCCCCTTCAAGCGCGCCGGCTCCCAACGCGCGCGCCCGAAACGTCTCCCCCCTGAAAGGTCTCCCCTTTCAAGCACGCCCGCTCCCAACGCGCGCGCCCGAAACGTCTCCCCCCCGAAACGTCTCCCCTTTCGCGCGCCCCGCTTTCAACGCGCGCGCCCGAAACGTCTCCCCCCCAAAACGTCTCCCCTTTCGTGCGCGCCCGCTCCCAACGCGCGCGCCCAAACGACTCCCCCCCGAAACGTCTCCCCTTTCGTGCGCGCCCCGCTCCCAATGCGCGCGCCCGAAACGTCTCCCCTCCGAAACGTCTCCCCTTTCGCGCGCGCCGCTCCCAACGCTCGCCCCCGAAATGTCTCCCCCTGAAACGTCTCCCCTTTCGCGCGCGCCGCTCCCAAGCGCGTGCCCGAAAGGTCTCCCCCCCAAAACGTCTCCCCTTTCGCGTGCGCCCGCTCCCAACGCGCGCGCCCGAAACGTCTCCCCCCGAAACGTCTCCCCTTTCGTGGCGCCCGCTCTGATCGCGCGCACCCGAAACGTCTCCCCCCCGAAACGTCTCCCCTTTCGCGCGCGCCCGCTCCCAACGCGTGCGCCCGGAACGTCTCCCTCTCGAAACGTCACCCCTTTCGAGCGCGCCCGCTCCCAACGCGCACGCCCGAAACGTCTCCTCTCCGAAACGTCTCCCCTTTCGCGCGGCCCGCTCCCGACGCGCGCGCTTGAAACGTCTCACCCCCGAATTGTCTCCCTTTTGTGCGCGCCCGCTATCAACGCGCGCGCCCGAAACGTCTCCCCCCCGAAACGTCTCCCCTTTCGTGCGCGCCCGCTCCCAACGCGCGCGCCCGAAACGTCTCCCTCCGAAACGTCTCCCCTTTCGCGCGCGCCGCTCCCAACGCTCGCCCCCGAAATGTCTCCCCCTGAAACGTCTCCCCTTTCGCGCGCGCCCGCTCCCAACGCGCGTGCCCGAAAGGTCTCCCCCCAAAACGTCTCCCCTTTCGCGTCCGCCCGCTCCCAACGCGCGCGCCCGAAACGTCTCCACCCCGAAACGTCTCCCCTTTCGTGGCGCCCGCTCTGATCGCGCGCACCCGAAACGTCTCCCCCCCGAAACGTCTCCCCTTTCGCGCGCGCCCGCTTTCAACGCGCGCGCCCGGAACGTCTCCCTCTCGAAACGTCACCCCTTTCGAGCGCGCCCGCTCCCAACGCGCACGCCCGAAACGTCTCCTCTCCGAAACGTCTCCCCTTTCGCGCGTGCCCGCTCCCGACGCGCGCGCTTGAACGTCTCACCCCCGAATTGTCTCCCTTTTTGTGCGCGCCCGCTATCAACGCGCGCGCCCGAAACGTCTCCCCCCCGAAACGTCTCCCCTTTCGTGCGCGCCCGCTCCCAACGCGCGCGCCTGAAACGACTCCCCCCCGAATCGTCTCCCCTTTCGCGCGCGCCCGCTCCCAACGCGCGCGCCCAAAACGTCTCCCCTCCGAAACGTCTCCCCATTCGCGCACGCACGCTCCCAACGCGCGCCCCCGAAACGTCTCCCCCCTGAAACGTCTCCCCTTTCGCGCGTGCCCGCTCCCAACGTGCGCACCCGAAACGTCTCCCCCCAGAACGTCTCCCCTTTCACACGCCCCCCCCCCCAACCCGCGCGCCCGAAACGTCTCCACCCCGAAACGTCTCCCCTTTCGCGCGCGCTCGCTCCCAACGCGCGCGCCTGAAACGTCTCCCCCTGAAACGTCTCCCCTTTCGCGCGCACCCGCTCTCAACGCGCGCGCCCGAAACGTCTCCCCCTCGAAACGTCTCTCTTTTCGCGCGTGTCTTCTCTCAACGTGCGCGCCCGAAACGTCTCCCTTCGAAACGTCTCCCCGTTCGCGCGTGCCCGCCCCTAACGCGCGCGCCCTAAACGTCTCCCCCACGAAACGTCTCCCCTTTTGTGGCGCCCGCTCTGATCGCGCGCGCCCGAAACGTCTCCCCCCGAAACGTCTCCCCTTTCGCGCGCGCCGCTCCCAACGCGCGCGCCCGGAACCTTCCCCCTCGATCGTCTTCCCTTTCGTGCGCGCCCGCTCCCAACTCGCGCGCTCGAAACGTCTCCCACCCGAAACGTCTCCCCTTAAGCGCGCCCGCTTCCAACGCGCGCGCCGAAATGTCTCCCCCCGAAACGTCTCCCCTTTCGAGCGCGCCCGCTCCTGACGCGCGCGCGCCTAAAACGTCTCCCCTCCGAAACGTCTCCCCTTTCGCGCGTGCCCGCTGCCGACGCGCGCGCCCGAAACGTCTCACCCCTGAAACGTCTCCCTTTTCGCGCGCGCCCGCTATCACGCTCGCCGCCCGAAACGTCTCCCCCCCGAAACGTCTCCTTTTCGCACAAGTCCGCTCTCAACGCACGCGCCCGAAACGTCTCCCCTTCGCAATGTCTCCCCTTTCGGGCGCGCCCGCCCCCAACGCGCGTGCACGAAACGTCTCCCCACGAAACGTCTCCCCTTTCACGCGCGCCCGCTCCTAACACGCGCGCCCGAAACGTCTCTCCCCCGAAACGTCTCCCCTTTCGAGCGCGCCCGCTCCCAACGCGCGCGTCTGAAACGTCTCCCCCCCGAAACGTCTCCCCCTTTCGAGCGCGCCCGCTCCCAACACGCGCGCCCGAAATGTCTCCCTCTCTGAAACGTCTCCCTTTCGAGCGCGCCCGCTCCAACGCGCGCGCCCGAAAAGTCGCCCCAGCGAAACGTCTCCCTTTTTGCGCGCGCCCGCTCCCAACGCGCGCGCCCGAAACGTCTCCCCTTTCGAGCGCGCCCGTTCCCAACACGCGCGCCCGAAACGTCTCTCCCCTGAAACGCTCCCCTTTCGAGCGCGCGCTCTCCCAACGCGCGCGCCCGAAACGTCTTCCTCGAAACGTCTCCCCTTTCGAGCGCGCCCGCTCCCAACGCGCGCGCCTGAAACATCTCCCCCCCGAAACGTCTCCCCTTTCGACGCCGCCCGCTCCCAACGCGCGCGCCGGAAACGTCTCCCCGGAAACGTCTCCCCTTTCGAGCGCGCCCGCTCCCAACGCGCGCGCCGGAAAGGAAAACGTCCCCCCCCCCGAAACGTCTCCCCTTTCGTGCGCGCCCGCTCCCAACACGCGCGCCCGAAACGTCTCTACCCTGAAACGTCTCCCCTTTCGAGCGTGCCCGCTCCCAACGCGCGCGCCCGAAACGTCTCTCCCCTGAAACGTCTCCCCTTTCGAGCGCGTCCGCTCCCAACGCGCGCGCCGCCGAAACGTCTCCCCCCCGAAACGTCTCCCTTTTCGCGCGCGCCCCTCCCAACGCGCGCGCCCGAACGTCTCCCCCCTGAAACGTCTCCCTTTCGCGGCGCGCCCGCACCCAACGCGCGCGCCCGAAACGTCTACCCCCGAAACGTCTCCCCTTTCGCGCGCGCCCGCTCCCAACGCGCCGCCCCGAAACGTCTCCCCCCTGAAACGTCTCCCCTTTCGCGCGCGCCCGCTCTCAACGCGCGCGCCTGAAACGTCTCACCCCCCAAAACGTTTCACCTTTCGCGCGCGCCCGCTCTCAACGCGCGCGCCTGTGAAACGTCTCCCCCCGAAACGTCTCCCCTTTCGCGCGCGCCCGCTCCCAACGCGCGCCCCCGGAAACGTCTCCCCCTGAAACGTCTCCCCTTTCGCGCGCGCCCGCTCCCAACGCGCGCGCCCGAAACGTCTACCCCCTGAAACGTCTCCCCTTTCATGCGCGCCCGCTCCCAACGCGCACGCCCGAAACGTCTACCCCCCGAAACGTCTCCCATTTCGTGGCGCCCGCTCTGAACGCGCGCGCCCGAAACGTCTCCCCCCCGAAACGTCTCCCCTTTCGCGCGCGTCCGCTCCCAACGCGCGCGCCCGAAACGTTCTCCCCCCGAAACGTCTCCCCTTTGGCGCGCGCCCGCTTTCAACGCGCGCGCCCGAAACGTCTCCCCCCCCGAAATGTCTCCCCTTTCGCGCACGCCCGCTCCCAACGCGCGCGCCCGAAACGTCTCCCCCCGAAAACGTCTCCCTTTCGCGCGCCCGCCCGCTCCCAACGCGCGCGCCCGAAACGCCACCCCCCCCGAAACGTCTCCCCTTTCGCGCGCGCCCGCTCCCAACGCGCGCGCCCGAAACGTCTCCCCCCCGAAACGTCTCCCTTACGCGCGCGCCCGCTCCCAACGTGCGCGCCCGAAACGTCTCCCCCCCCGAAATGTCTCCCCTTTCGCACGCGCCCGCTCCCAACGCGCGCGCCCGAAACGTCCCCCCCCCGAAAGCGGGAGAATGGGGCGGGTGGGGGGGGAGGGTGATGGAAAGTGGGAGAATGGGGCGGGGAGATGGAAAGCGGGAGAATGGGGCGAGGTGATGGAAAGAGGGAGAATGGGGCGTGAGGGGTGATGGAAAGAAAGACGCGCCCGCTCCCAACGCGCGCGCCCGAAACGTCCCCCCCCCGAAAGCGGGAGAATGGGGCGGGGTGATGGAAAGTGGGAGAATGGGGCGGGGAGATGGAAAGCGGGAGAATGGGGCGAGGTGATGGAAAGAGGGAGAATGGGCGGGGTGATGGAAAGAAGGAGAATAGGGGGGGTGATAGAAAGCGGGTTCACAGGGCGGGGTGATGGAAAGCGGGAGAATGGGGCGGGGTGATGGAAAGCGGGAGAACGGGGCGGGTTGATGGAAAGAGGGGAACAGGGCGGGGTGATGGAAAGAGGGAGAACAGGGCTGGGTGATGGAAAGCGGGAGAATGGGGCTGGGTGATGGAAAGAGGGAGAATGGGGTTGGGTGATGTAAAGCGGGACAATGGGCCGGGGTGATTGAAAGTGGGAGAATGGGCCTGGGTGATGGAAAGCGGAAGAATTGGGCTGGGTGATGGAAAGCGGGAGAATGGGGCAGGGTGATGGAAAGCGGGAGAACGGGGCGGGGTGATGGAAAGCGCGGGAGAATGGGGCGAGGTGATGGAAAGAGGGAGAATGGGGTGGGGTGATGGAAAAAGGGAGAATGGGGCGGGGTGAGGAAAGAGGGAGAATGGGGCAAGGTAATGGAAAGAGGGAGAAAAGGGCTGGGTGATTAAAGAGGGAGAATGGGGCAGGGTGATGGAAAGCGGGAGAACGGGGCGGGGTGATGGAAAGCGGGAGAACGGGGCGGGGTGATGGAAAGCGGGAGAACGGGGCGGGGTGATGGAAAGCGGGAGAACGGGGCGGGGTGATGGAAAGCGGGAGAATGGGGCGGGGTGATGGAAAGCGGGAGAATGGGGTGGGGTGATGGAAAGAGGGAGAACGGGGCGGGGTGATGGAAAGAGGGAGAACGGGGCGGGGTGATGGAAAGCGGCAGAATGGGGCGGGGTGATGGAAAGCGGGAGAACCGGGCGGGGTGATGGAAAGCGGGAGAACGGGGCTATGTGATGGAAAGCGAAAACGAGGCGGGGCGATGGAAAGCGGAGAACGGGGCAGGGTGATCGAAAGAGGGAGAATGCGGCGGGGCGATGGAAAGAGGGACAATGGGGCGGGGAGATGGAAAGCGGGAGAATGGGGCGGGGTGATGGAAAGAGGGAGAACGGGGCGGGGTGATGGAAAGCGGGAGAACGGGGCGGGGTGATGGAAAGCGGGAGAAAGGGGCGGGGTGACGGAAAGGAGGAGAATGGGGCGGGGTGATGGAAAGAGGGAGAATGGGGCGAGGTGATGGAAAGCGGGAGAATGGGGCAGGGTGATGGAAAGAGGGAGAACGGGGCGGGGTGATGGAAAGAGGGAGAATGGGGTTGGGTGATGGAAAGCGGAAAAATGGGGCTGGGTGATGGAAAGCGGGAGAATGGGGCGGGGCGATGGAAAGCGGGAGAACGGGGGCGGGTGATGGAAAGCGGGAGAACGGGGCGGGGTGATGGAAAGAGGGAGAATGGGGCAGGGTGACAGAAAGCGGGAGAACGGGGCAGGGTGATGGAAAGCGGGAGAATGGGGCGGAGTGATTGTGGGAGGGAGAATGGGGCGGGGTGATGGAAAGTGGGAGAATGGGGCGGGGTGATGGAAAGCAGGAGAATGGGGCGGGGTGATGGAAAGAGGGAGAATGGGGCGGGGTGATGGAAAGTGGGAGAATGGGGCGGGGTGATGGAAGGAGGCAGAATGGGGCGGGGTGATGGAAAGAGGTAGAATGGGGCGGGGTGATGGAAAGAGGGAGAATGGGGCGGGGTGATGGAATGCGGGAGAATGGGGCGGGGTGATGGAAAGAAGGAGAATGGGGCGGGGTGATGGAATGCGGGAGAATGGGGCGGGGTGATGGAAAGAGGGAGAATGGGGGCGGGGTGATGGAAAGAGAGAGAATGGGGCGGGGTGATCGAAAAGAGGGAGAATGGGGCGGGGCGATGGAAAGAGGGAGAATGGGGCGGGGTGATGGAAAGAGGGAGAATGGGGCGGGGTGATGGAAAGCGGGAGAATAGGGCGGGGTGATCGAAAGAAGGAGTATGGTGCGGGGTGATGGAAAGAGGGAGAATGGGGCGGGGTGATGGAAAGAGGGAGAATGGGGCGGGGCGATGGAAAGAGGGAGAATGGGGCGGGGTGATGGAAAGAGGGAGAATGGGGCGGGGTGATGGAAAGCGGGAGAATAGGGCGGGGTGATCGAAAGAAGGAGTATGGTGCGGGGTGATGGAAAGAGGGAGAATGGGGCGGGGTGATGGAAAGCGAGAGAATGGGGCGGGGTGATGGAAAGAGGGAGAATGGGGCGGGGAGATGGAAAGCGGGAGAATGGGGCGGGGTGATGGAAAGAGGGAGAATGGGGCGGGGTGATGGAAAGAGGGAGAATGGGGCGGGGAGATGGAAAGCGGGAGAATAGGGCCGGGTGATCGAAAGAAGGAGTATGGTGCGGGGTGATGGAAAGAGGGAGAATGGGGCGGGGTGATGGAAAGAGGGAGAATGGGGCGGGGTGATGGAATGCGGGAGAATGGGGCGGGGTGATGGAAAGAGGGAGAATGGGGCGGGGAAATGGAAAGCGGGAGAATAGGGCGGGGTGATCGAAAGAAGGAGTATGGTGCGGGGTGATGGAAAGAGGGAGAATGGGGCGGGGTGATGGAAAGAGGGAGAATGGGGCGGGGTGATGGAAAGCGGGAGAATGGGGCGGGATGATGGAAAGCAAGAGAATGGGGCGGGGTGATGGAAAGGGAGAATGGGGCGGGGTGAGGGAAAGAGGGAGAATGGGGCAAGGTAATGGAAAGAGGGAGAAAAGGGCTGGGTGATTAAAAGAGGGAGAATGGGGCAAGGAGATGGAAAGTGGGAGAACAGGGCGGGGGGATGGAAAGCGGGAGAACGTGGCGGGGCGATGGAAAGCGGGAAAACGGGGCGGGGCGATGGAAAGCGGGAAAGCGGGGCGGGGTGATGGAAAGCGGGAGAATGGGGCGGGGTGATGGAATGCGGGAGAATGGGGCGGGGTGATGGAAAGAGGGAGAATGGGGCGGGGTGATGGAAAGAGGGAGAACGGGGCGGGGTGATGGAAAGCGGGAGAATGGGGCGGGGTGATGGAAAGAGGGAGAATAGGGCGGGGTGATGGAAAGAGGGAGAACGGGCGGGGTGATGGAAAGGGGGAGAACGGGCGGGGTGATGGAAAGCTGGAGAATGGGGCGGGGTGATGGAATGCGGGAGAACGGGGCAGGGTGATGGAATGCGAGAGAACGGGGCTATGCGATGGAAAGCGGGAGAACGGGGCGGGGTGATGGAAAGCGGGAGAACGGGGCGGGGTGATGGAAAGAGGGAGAACGGGGCGGGGTGATGGATAGCGGGAGAACGGGGCGGGGCGATGGAATGCGAGAGAACGGGGCTGTGCGATGGAAAGCGGGAGAACGGGGCGGGGTGATGGAAAGCGGGAGAACGGGGCGGGGTGATGGAAAGAGGGAGAACGGGGCGGGGTGATGGATAGCGGGAGAACGGGGCGGGGCGATGGAATGCGAGAGAACGGGGCTGTGCGATGGAAAGCGGGAGAACGGGGCGGGGTGATGGAAAGCGGGAGAACGGGGCGGGGTGATGGAAAAAGGGAGAATGGGGCGCGGTTATGGAAAGAGGGAGAATGGGGTTGGGTAATGAAAAGAGGGAGAATGGGGCGGGGTGATGGAAAGCAGGAGAATGGGGCGGGGTGATGGAATGCGGGAAAATGAGGCGGGGTGATGAAAAGCGGGAGAATGGGGCGGGGTGATGGAAAGAGGGAGAATGGGGCGGGGTGATGGAAAACGGGAGAATGGGGCGGGGTGATGGAAAGCGGGAGAACGGGGCGGGGTCAAATCTTGCAAACCACGCGGAATGAAATGGAGCCACTTGTTGTGCATGTGGAAAATAGTCTAATCTAGGAGATTGCAAAACAAAAGAGGCGTCCAACGCATTGGACCAGTCAAAGTGATGCGCTGGGCAGTCTGGGCAGTACGGGCACCTATAATGGGTGTACCAGGCAGAGTTCGGGCGCCCAAATCTTGCAAACCACGCGGAATGAAATGGAGCCACTTGTTGTGGATGTGGAAAATATTCTAATCTAAGAGATTGCAAAACAAAAGAGGCGTCCGACGCATTGGACCAGTCAAAGTGATGCGCTGGGCAGTCTGGGCAGTACGGGCACCTATAATGGGTGTACCAGGCAGAGTTCGGGCGCCCAAATCTTGCAAACCACGCAGAATGAAATGGAGCCACTTGTTGTGGATGTGGAAAATAGTCTCATCTAGAGGACTAGATTTAAAAAAGAGGCATCCAATGCAGTGGACCAGTCAAAGTGTTCCGCTGGGCAGTCTGGTCACTACGCGCACCTATAATGGGCGTACCAGGCAGAGTTCGGGCGCTCAAATCTTGCAAGCCACGCGGAATGAAAAGGAGCCACTTGTTGTTGATTTGGAAAATAGTCTAATCTAGAGGACTAGCAAAAACAAAGAAGCATCCAACGCAGTGGACCAGTCAAAGTGTTCCGCTGGGCAGTCTGGTCACTACGCGCACCTATAATGGGCGTACCAGGCAGAGTTCGGGCGCTCAAATCTTGCAAACCCCGCGGAATGAACTGGAGCCACTTGTTGTGCATGTGGAAAATAGTCTAATCTAGGAGATAGCAAAACAAAAGAGGCATCCGACACAGTGGACCAGTCAAAGTGATGCGCTGGGCAGTCTGGGCAGTACGGGCACCTATAATGGGCCTACCAGGCAGAGTTCGGGCGCCCAAATCTTGCAAACCACGCGGAATGAAATGGAGCCACTTGTTGTGGATGCAGAAAATAGTCTCATCTAGAGGACTAGCAAAAAAAAATAGGCATCCAACGCAGTGGACCAGTCAAAGTGTTCCGCTGGGCAGTCTGGTCACTACGCACACCTATAATGGGCGTACCAGGCAGAGTTCGGGCGTTCAAATCTTGCAAACCACGCGGAATGAAATGGAGCCACTTGTTGTGCATGTGGAAAATAGTCAAATCTAGGAGATAGCAAAACAAAAGAGGCATCCGACGCATTGAACCAGTCAAAGTGATGCGCTGGGCAGTCTGGGCAGTACGGGCACCTATAATGGGCCTACCAGGCAGAGTTCGGGCGCCCAAATCTTGCAAACCACGCGGAATGAAATGGAGCCACTTGTTGTGGATGTGGAAAATAGTCTCATCTAGAGGAATAGCAAAAAACAAGAGGCATCCAACGCAGTGGACCAGTCAAAGTGATCCGCTGGGCAGTCTGGTCACTACGCGCACCTATAATGGGCGTACCAGGCAGAGTTCGGGCGCTCAAATCTTGCAAACCACGCGGAATAAAATGAAGCCACTTGATGTGGATGTGGAAAATAGACTAATCTAGAGGACTAGCAAAAAAAAAGAGGCATCCCACAAAGAGGACCAGTCAAAATGATACGCTGGGCAGTCTGGGCAGTACGGGCACTTATAATGGGCGTACCAGGCAGACTTCGGGCACTCAAATCTTGCAAACCACGCGGAATGAAATGGAGCCACTTGTTGTGGATGTGGAAAACAGTCTAATCTAGAGGAGTAGCAAAAAAAAAGAGGCAATAGTCCAACAGTCCAACTGTCCAACAGTCCAACTGTCCAACAATCCAACAGTCCAACATTCCAACTGTCCAACTTTCCAACTGTCCAACTGTCCAACTGTCCAACAGTCCAACTGTCCAACAGTCCAACTGTCCAACTGTCCAACTGTCCAACTGTCCAACTGTCCAAATGTCAACAGTCCAACTGTCCAACTGTCCAACTCTCCAACTGTCCAACTGTCCAACTGTCCAACTGTCCAACTCTCCAACTGTCCAACTGTCCAACTGTCCAACTTTCCAACTGTCCAACTGTCCAACCGTCCAACAGTCCAACAGTCCAACAGTCCAACTGTCCAACAGTCCAACAGTCCAACTGTCCAACTGTCCAACTGTCCAACTATCCAACTGTCCAACTGTCCAACAGTCCAACAGTCCAACTGTCCAACTGTCCAAATGTCCAACTGTCCAACTGTCCAACTTTCCAACTGTCCAACTGTCCAACTGTCCAACAGTCCAACAGTCCAACAGTCCAACTGTCCAACTGTCCAACTGTCCAAATGTCCAACTGTCCAACTGTCCAACTGTCCAACTTTCCAACTGTCCAACTGTCCAACTGTCCAACAGTCCAAGAGTCCAACACTCCAACTGTCCAACATTCCAACTGTCCAACTGTCCAACAGTCCAACTGTCCAACTGTCCAAATGTCCAACTGTCCAGCATTCCAACTGCCCAACTGTCCAACATTCCAACTGTCCAACTGTCCAACATTCCAACTATCCAACATTCCAACTGTCCAACTGTCCAACTGTCCAACTGTCCAAATGTCCAACTGTCCAACTGTCCAACTGTCCAAATGTCCAACTGTGCAACTGTCCAACTGTCCAACTGTCCAACTGTCCAAATGTCCAACATTTCAACTGTCCAACTGTCCAAATGTCCAACTCTCCAACAACTTTCCAACTGTCCAACTGTCCAACTGTCCAACAGTCCAACTGTCCAACTGTCCAACTGTCCAACTGTCCAAATGTCCAACTGTCCAACTGTCCAATTGTCCAACTGTCCAACTGTCCAACTGTCCAATTGTCCAACTGTCCAAATTTCCAATTGTCCAACTGTCCAACAGTCCAACTGTCCAACTGTCCAACAGTCCAACTGTCCAACTGTCCAACTGTCCAACCGTCCAACAGTCCAACAGTCCAACTGTCCAACTGTCCAATGTCCAACTGTCCAACTGTCCGGCATTCCAACAGTCCAACTGTCCAACTGTCCAACTGTCCAACTGTCCAACTGTCCAACTGTCCAACAGTCCAACAGTCCAACTGTCCAACTGTCCAAATGACCAACTCTCCAACTGTCCAACCGTCCAACTGTCCAACTGTCCAACTGTCCAACAGTCCAACAGTCCAGCAGTCCAACTGTCCAAATGTCCAACTGTCCAACTGTCCAACTTTCCAACTGTCCAACTGTCCAACTGTCCAACAGTCCAACTGTCCAACTGTCCAAATGTCCAACTGTCCAACTGTCCAACAGTCCAACAGTCCAACTGTCCAACTGTCCAAATGTCCAACTGACCAACATTCCAACTGTCCAACTGTCCAACTGTCCAAATGTCCAACTATCCAACATTCCAACTGTCCAACTGTCCAACTGTCCAAATGTCCAACTGTCCAACAGTCCAACTGTCCAACTGTCCAACCGTCCAACTGTCCAAATGTCCAACCCACTTCCCCCCACGCCCTCCACAGTCCAGGCAGCAGCACTATGTGGTGCTGGTGGGGTACCTGAAGCTGCCCACCGCTCTGGTGGAAGAGTTCCCTCTATACCACCACCCACCCCTTCCAACCCCAGCTATTGATGCGCAGGCAGCACGGTGTCGACTACATAGTGCTGGCTGGGTACCTGAAGCTGCTGTCACCACCGCTGGTGAGGGGCCTTTCTCACCCTTATCTACTCCCCATCCCCACCACTCCATTTCCCCCGCACCCTCCACGGTGCAGGCAGCACGGGGTGGACTACGTGGTGCTGGCGGGGCACCTGAAGCTGCTGGACACTGCTACCACCACCCCTCATAAGGGACATCCTTATCCATCCCCCCCTCATCCACACCCATCCCCTTCCCCTGCGCAGGCAGCACGGGGTGGACTACGTGGTGCTGGCAGGGTATCTGAAGCCGCTGCCTGCCTCTCTAGTGAAGGCGTTTCTCACTCTACCCCTGAACACCCCCTCCACCCCCCTCCCCCATCCTCCCTCCCGTTCCTTGCCCTCGTGTCCCAAACGATCCTGGCAGCACGGAGTGGACTACGTGGTGCTAGCAGGGTATGTGAAGTTGCTTCCCGCCTCTCCGCCCTTCACCCCCAGCTCATCCCGTTCTCTTGCCCCCAACAATTTCCCACTCCCCCACAACGCAGGCAGCACCGAGTGGACTACGTGGTGCTAGCGGGGTATCTGAAGCTGCTGCCCGCCTCGCTGGTGGAGGCTGTTTCAACCACCGCTCATAAGGGCCCTTGTTCATCCCACTTCCCCCTCATCCACACCCATCCCTTTCCCCTGCTCAGGCAGCACCGAGTGGACTACATAGTGCTAGCGGGGTATCTGAAGCTGCTGCCCGCCTCGCTGGTGGAGGCGTTCCCACAAGCCATCCTCAACATCCATCCACCCCGCTCTGCTGCCTGCGTTTGGGGGGAAGGGCTACTATGGCATGCACATGCACAAAGCAGTTATTGCCTCTGGGGCTAGGTGCATGCGTGTGTGTGGAGAGGGGCTGCTGCTGCTGCTGCTGCTGTGTTATGAGGCGTGCTGTGGGCTAGTGCAGTCCTCGCCAGCTTGGTGAAGGGCTACTTTGGCAGATGCGTCCATCATGCTGACCTTGCTTACGGGGCCAGGTGCGCGTGTGTGTGCGTGTAAAGGGGGCTGCTGCTGCCGAGTGTTCATCCTCAACATCCACCCTGCGCTGCTGCCCCTGTTCGGCGGGAAGGGCTGTTACGGGTGCACAAAGCTACCATTGCTTCTGGAGCTAGGTGTGTGCATGGGGCTGCCATGCTGTGGCTGCTCTGGTGTGCTGCTGTGGTGTGGGTTAGTGGAGCTCAGGTCACCTTGCGAGGTGGGCAGCATGGGCTTCTGTGGGCATCTGCGTGCACCGTGCTGTCATTGCCTCTGGCCCCAGGTGGGCAGGGTGGGCGTGCTGCTGGTATGCTGCGAGTGAGGTGTAGCAGGGTGTGTTAGTGCGAGTAGGGACTGCACCTCAACCATGTGAACCTCGCACCTTTCATCTATCATTCACCCCCTCAATATCATTCTCAGCTTGCAAACCCCACCCCTCCCATCTTCACGCTCCCTTCCTCCCCCTGCCAGGGTATCAGGCCCAACAGTGCATTTCGTGGATGAGCGCTATGACCACGGCCCCATAGCAGCGCAGGCAGGCAGTGGTGCCCGTGCTGCCCTTGTTTATCCCGCCTCCTCCCCTCCCATTTCCTCTCCTCCCCCTTCCCTCGTCCCCCTGTCAGGGTATCAGGCCCAACAGTGCATTTCGTGGATGAGCGCTATGACCACGGCCCCATAGCAGCGCAGGCAGGCAGTGGTGCCCGTGCTGCCCTTGTTTATCCCGCCTCCTCCCCTCCCACTTCCTCTCCTCCCCCCCTTACCTCGTCCCCCTGTCAGGGTATCAGGCCCAACGGTGCACTTTTTCAGGGTACACCCCACAGCGCTGCCCTCAGAACCGCCAGGGCTGCCCGTGCAGCCCGGCAACCACGCACGTGCCGCAGAGGGGGGGTTCGGCAGCACGGCAGGGGAGGCGGTGCGTGCTTCGATCGCTGAAGACGGCCAGAGTGTGGAGAGCGCAAGAGAAGTGGAGGAGGAGTGGGTGGGGCACAGGAGTGGGTGGGGCGCAGGAGTGGGTGGGGCGCAGGAGTGGGTGGGGCGCAGGAGTAGGTGGGGTGCAGGAGTGGGTGGGGCGCAGGAGTGGGTGGGGCGCAGGAGTGGGTGGGGCGGGAAGTGGCGGGGCGGGCATGGTGTGATGGTGCATTGGGCAACGACCTGCCGCTCTTCACCCTCAAGGACAACCCTCCTCTTCAACGCGCCGTGCCACCCACATCATCGCCAATCGCATTCCTTCACAATTCCTTCACCAGTCGCTGCACAATCCCTGGCACTGATTCACTGTTGCCGGTGCACAGCATGGTGCACAGTGTGCCCACCGGACTGCCAAATGCTGTTTGAGGGGGTCAAGGACCAGCTGCCGCCCGTGGGACCCGGCAACTTCCTCGCCCGTATCATTGGATGCGTGCTCCTCTGCCCTGTGCCATGTGCCATGCGCGTTGCACCGCCCTCTCATCCTTTTTGTCCTTACCGATAGAACGCCTCACGTGCCCGCCTATATAGCTTATTCGCCTGCCATGCTGCCACGATTCGCGTGCCTGTTGTGCGTGTCTGAGAGGGGCAGCAGGTGTGGGCTTGTGAAGGTGCATGGGCTGGCGCACGTATTTCGCCAGGCGGAGCAGTCGCACATAGGGCAGCACGCCCACGCCATCCTCAACGCCTCCCGCCCCTCCTTCCACTCGCCCTGGCCTCGCTTCCTCTCCGCCGCCATCGCCTCTGCCCTCTCCTCCCTGCCTCCCACCACCACCACTGATGCTGATGCGTCTACTCCCTCGCCCCTGCCTGCCTCTCTTCCTGCGGGGAGTGCTGTTGGGGGGGACCGGTGGTGGACTAGTCTCACGTCCCACTGTGTGCTCCTGCACGTGCGTCCACACTTAAACCCCTCGTGAACCTCCGTCCCTCCTTCCCCATCTTATTCCCACTTTTATTACTCCACTCACTCGCTTTCACCACCCATCACGACTTTCCCCTCGTTCCCCTTGGTCCTTCTCCGGCGCTACTTAGTGATTCTTCTCCTCCTCTCTCTTCTCCCCATTTTCTTCTCTCTCTTTCTTTCCCTCCTCTCCTTCCCCATACCGTATTCGTCCATATGTCTCCCCATCCATACACACTCCCTTTCACACTCAAGTCTCCCTGCGCCCCTCCCCCATGCCCTTGACCGCCAGGCTCGATCGCACTCGGAGGTAGAGGTGGTGATGCAGCATGTGCTCACGCGCGTGCTGCCACACCTCACAGCATCGCCGTGGGATGACGTGCAGGAGGTTATCAGATGGAAGGAGGGGAGGTGCTGAGATGACTTTTCCCTGCAACATACCACCCGCCCTCCCTCTGGCAGCGTCTGCAGCAGCTGCTGATGACGTGCAGGTGCTGCCGCCCGTGCAGCGCGGCCCCTTCGGCGTCAGTCAGCCTCCTCAACTCAGTGTGTGTAACACACACGAGAGGGGGGGTAAATGCTACTCATGCTGTAACAAGCGTTTGGCGGGCGGTGGTGGCAGTGGCGGCGTTGCTCCCAGCTCGTCGCCCCACAGGCGGTGCGTGACTCTGTGCTGAGTGGGCGTGGGTGGGCGGAGGGGGCCATGGCAGTGCGGGCAGCAGCACGAGTGGATGCAAGGAAGAGGCTGGAGCAGCACGAGTGGACCTGCACTATACGTGCCTGCTGGGGTCATTTCTATCATCCACGACAGTTATTACTCTCAAGGGTGATGCATAGCGAAATGATGATGACTAGCACGATGGGAGGTACAAAACAAATGCTAAACCTAGAAAGTGTTGTACTCCTTACAGTCCTACTCACTATAGCCTATCAACATAATGTAACATTTGACTGTTACCATGTGCTCGGCTATTGCCAATGCCACCAAGTGCTTGCTCGTCTTTTCCTCTCCACTTGTATTGTCTGCAGCAGTATGCGCGGTCTGGTTCGGCAGGAGTTTAAATGAACAGTACGCGCGCTGCTACCTCAGCTTTGTTATGGTATTGCTTGCCCTGTAGATGGTTGTGCTCCTGCTCAACAAGGCTCATTCTGTTGTCGGATGATGCACCCGCTATCTATTACGGTACTTGCCTGCGTAAATGTTAATGAGCATAATGCAGGTAAAAATGGATGCCCATAAGTTCTGGTTACATAACGCAGGATATAGCGCACCTGTGCTTATAATAAAACACGTTTTTTTTGCGTGCACTTATGATAGGTCTGTGCTTACGGTATGTTCGGGGCATTACGGTACCTATGCACCATATGCTATTTAGATGAGGTTCACAGCTATGCACAAAATTTTCAGAACAAAATCATTGATCGATGGATACACAGCATACATTAATATCATAGAAAAGTTTCTAATTAGTGCATGGTAGCTATAAAAGAGCTGTGTAGAGGTTTATGATATCTTATTTCCGAACAAGTTTGAGACCAAACATTTTTCCGAATAGTGTTGTATCGATGGTACCCGTTCAAATAAATTCCCGCCCTTCATCTGTGCCTGACAACTCCCAAGGCGCTGCGAGGAAGTCAGGCATTGGAAACACACCACCACCACACGAACAATGTTTGTGACACCAAACAACCCACTGACAGTCACACGACCCAGAGCAAGAGCTGGCAAACCAAAACGCCAGGAACCAAGAGAGCTAGGCAGCTAGGAACGCATATTCCGCCATAGCCCACAACCAGCTGTGCGTTATTCTGCGGTTGCGATTCCCGGCTGACACTCCTGACCGTCGAATCATTAGGTCAGTTTAAATGATTTCTCTCTGTTTGTCAGCTTAGGCGTTTGTTAGTCATGGCCGTCCACTATGTTACCTGTAGATGTGACCTAGTAATGTCACACAGATGTCACGGTGTGTCTCGCTAACAGCCTTTGAAATGTTGCTTTTCGACGTTGACTTATTTTCCGAGTCATCGTCTGAAAGCGTTTCGGCGTCATCCAGCTCTCAGCAACTATCATCGCTGTCACTTTCGCTGCTGCTATCGCTGCCATTGTCGCTGGCCGTCTCACTTTCATCGTAAAAACGCGAAATAGACTCTGCTTTTGACTCTTCGTCTGCCATTGTTCTGCCATTCGTCAACGCTGTCTAAGAGGACCGCGCTGAGCGTTTCTTACTACCAATCGTGCATGCGGATACAGACTGCTGACTAACTCGCAACCTAAGTCGTGCGTCACCCTGGAACGCAATTACGTGGTAACTTTCGAAGCTGGAGGCATCCGTGGTACTTCCTTTAGGCTAATCGCTAAGCTATCATATATTTATTATACAATTTTGACAAAAATTCTTCTTACACAAACTGAACACTCTGTAAAGGGGATATAATCAGACCATGCGCCGGCCACGTGTGACCCGAAGCTGACCCAACGCGCCAAATTGTGACCCGTACCTGACCCGTACCTGGCCCGAAAGTCACTTTAGGGTTAGCCCCTTTGACCTGAGACTAACCTAAAGTGTCAGATACAAAAGTAGTTTTTGGAACAGATTTTTCTAATGACCCAAATCTTGCCCAAAAGTTACCTGGGGGTCCCTTTCGGGACAGTACAATTTACCAATGATTGATACACGGATTTCCGCCGTGACAATTACAACTTTGAAGCCAAGATAAGGCTAAGCAGCAGCCGAAGAATTATAGTCTTAATGCTGTGCAATCCCGAGGCTGAATGGCACTGCAATCCTAAACCGTCCTCTCCTCCGTTCCCCTCTTAGCGCGCCTTCTTCCCTCCTCCCTCTATAAACTCCTTCCTCCTCTCACAGCACCTTCATTCCCCCTCCGTCCTCTCCGCCTTCCCCCTCTTAGCGCGCCTACCTCCCTCCTCCGTCCTCTCCTACTTCCCCCTCTCATCACCCGTCATTCCCCCATCTGCCCTCTCCTCCTTCCCCCTCTCATCACCCTTCCTTCCCCCCTCTGTCCTCTCCTCCTCCCCCCTCTCATCACCCTTCCTTCACCCCTCTGTCCTCTCCTCCTCACCACTCTCATCACCCTTCCTCCCCCCCTCTGCCCTCTCCTCCTTCCCCCTCTCATCACCCTTCCTTTTCCCCTCTGTCCTCTTCTCCTCCCCCCTCTCATCACCCTTCCTTCCCCCCTCTGTCCTCTCCTCCTCCCCCCTCTCATCACCCTTCCTCCACCCCTCTGCCCTCTCCTCCTTCCCCCTCTCATGACCCTTCCTTCCCCCCTCTGTCCTCTCCTCCTTTCCCCACTTTGCGCGCCTTCTCCCCCCCTCTGTCCTCTCCTCCTTTCCCCTCTTAGCGCTCCTACCTCCCCCATCCGTCCTCTCCTCCTCCCCCCTCTCATCACCCTTCCTCCCCCCCTGTGCCCTCTCCTCCTTCCCCTCTCATCACCCTTCCTTCCCCCCTCTGTCCTCTCCTCCTTTCCCCACTTTGCGCGCCTTCTTCCCCCCTCCGTCCTCTCCTCCTTCCCCCTCTCATCACCCTTTCTCCCCCCCTCTTCCCTGTCCTCTTTCCCCCTCTCATCACCCTTCCTTCCCCCCTCTGTCCTCTCCTCCTCCCCCCGCTGATCAACCTTCCTTCCCCCCTCTGTCCTCTCCTCCTCCCCCCTCTCCTGAGTCTCCTCAACCTTCTTTTCCCCCTCCGTCCTCTCCTCCTTCCCCCTCTTAGCGCGCCTACTTCCCCCCTCCGTCCTCTCCTCTTTCCTCCTCTCACCACCCTTCCTTCCCCCATCTGCCCTCTCCTCCTTCCCCCTCTCTTCACCCTTCCTTCCCCCCTCTGTCCTCTCCTCCTCCCCCCTCTCATCAACCTTCCTTCCCCCCTCCGTCCTCTCCTCCTCCCCCCTCTCATCAACCTTCCTTCCCCCCTCCGTCCTCTCCTCCGTCCCCTTCTTAGTGCGCCTTCTTCCCTCCTCCCTCCTCCCTCCATAAACTCCTTCCTCGTCTCACAGCACCTTCCTCCGTCCTCTCCGCCGCCTTCCCTCTCTTAGCCTGCTTACCTTCCTCTTCCGTCCTCTCCACCTTCGGGCATGCCAGGTGGCCACACCGCGTCCACGTGTATTTAGATGTCTTACGGCATTCTCAGCTCTCGCTGCTCCGCGCTCAACTCTAAATAGCATCTAGACTAAGGACTGCGGACTGAATTATTGCTCTTGGAAAAACCTGCATGATCCAGAATATTGGAGGTTACGACCCCATGGCTGATGCACTGGGTTGAGGAATGCAGAGCGTTGAACAGACGGAACACTGACGGAATGTTTGCCAAACAAGGCCAATTGACCAGTCAGAATTTATGGCTTGTCAACCCGAGATGAAGGGTAGCCATCAACGATTGATTGAAATTGACCACTGAAATAGTTTTTTTGATTGATTGAAATATATTGACTGATTGCCCCATCCTATGCATTGTTTTCTCCCTCATCCCTTCAGATTGATCCAATACAGTGTCCTTAAGTCAGAGAAGGGCACGATGGCAGAATCTTCTCGGCAACAGCGGATGACTGGAGCGAGGTAACACAAAGCTTACCTTATTCGCACGTCATTTGTTATAGACCACCCTTGTGCTTCTCATTCAGTCTCGTTTCCAAAATATGTTCCCACCATCACACCTCTCACGCTCCCCTCCCTGCACCCCATCCTCTTCCCTCTCTTACACCCCCTCTGGTCTTTGTCCTCCTACAGTTTAAATTGTGCAACTATTGATGCTCGAACTTCTTGTGGTGAAGGTGGCTCTGGTCCCTCTGAGAAAACCGAGGTATGATTTTGTTTTGAACGAAAAAAAAAAAAAAAAAAAAAAAAAAAAAAAAAAAAAAAAAAAAACCCTAAAAAAAAGAAATTTCGGTTTTGCAGGTGAAGCTCGATTCAGCATGCATTTTCTTGTCTTAAGCTGTGACTTGAAAACTTAAACTTGGCTCGTTGTGCTGCTATTGCAGGTTCGGAGTGTGCTTGCCTTCTTCGTGAATGGCAATGCAGAGGAGATTGTGTACGACCCTACTCGAACAGTTGGTGACGTTGTAAAGGTACATATCATTTCAATTGGGACGCACTTTAGTTTGATGGTTATAAGTGTCAATGGGATGTTATCTTCAAAAGCACTTTAACATTCATCACAATCTCTTCGTTTTTCTCTTTATGTTGTCGTTTACTGCAGAGCTTGTCCAACAAAATCAACAAAGATGAGATTTCTGATCTTGGGTTGTATATTGATCGACACTGCATGTTCATCAACAGCAGTTCAGAGTTGCCAAGTGAGTTCACCTGTCAATTTACTTTCCTGCTTTCCAATAGTTCTGATTTTTTCCCTCGTCTTTTGTTCCCTTCCCTTTGTCTTCCTCTCCTTTGTCTACGCTCCTTTTCTCACCCAAGTCATTCACCATTCTTTGTGTTCTGCCTCTTTCCTCATTCTGCTCTCATTCTTTCACTTATTGCTTGCTCATTTACGACCCTCCGATTTGTGATTGTCTCTGTAACAATCAGGTGTGTACATTTTGCTTGATGAGAAACATCTCATTATGGACGTGATGAAGTATGTCGACAGTATGGCGCAGGAGGGTAATGGAAAGCAAGTGTTGGTGCGGCTATTGTTTCACCAGAAATTTTCTGGTGGCCCAACCTTCAGTGACCCAGTCTTTTTGTCGAAGACGTATACCCATGTAAGTGGATGTCAACAGTAGCAGCACGGGTGTATCTGTTTTTGTCATTGTGTAACTCTTTTCGTGTGGTTTGGTATCTTTTGTTTTTTCATCGTACTAATATGATATGTCGCCTGCATTCTGCCTTTCGCCAGATGGAAGCACTGCGACAGGAAGCGTCTGCCAGGGCATGCGCTTTGATGGGGGAGTTGGAAGAGAGTTAGCGGAGTGGTGCACGGTTACAAGAGGCATTGGTGACACAGAAAATCGAGCTGGGAAGCTTGAATGAGGAGGTTATGAGAGCGCGCAGTAAGGTGAGTTCGCAGTCAGATAATCTACGCTTCTTTGTAAAACAGGGTTTCAACAAAGCAGTATATTATCCGCACCACCCTGTACCCCCTTCATCCCATGTTCATTTTTCTCTCTCTATTTGTGTCTTGTTTTTCCCATTCAGCTTGAGGAGGTACAGGAGGAGGCGATTAGGGTGCAAAAGGAAGCAGAGGAACGATTGCATGCAGCAAAGACAGAGATGGAGCGGGACTACATCAAAGCCGAGTTGAAATTGAGCAAGAAGGTGTGTTCCTTGCTCTTTAATGTCTGATCGGTTTAGCAGAGGTGTGTGCACACGTCATTCTCACACTTCTTCTCTCCCACGGTTTTTGAGTCGTCTCATCATGCACATTCTCCACACATGCTGATCATTTGGGCATATGATCCATTCCTATCCGATGTCATGATTGTACTCGCTCCCTCTTGTTTATATTTTTTACCAAATCAGACCATTGCCGCTCAGGACGAGCTGGCTGGCGTTCAGAAGGAGCTGAATGATGCGAAGCGTATGATACAAGAGCACGCTTTAGAAGCGCAGATGAAGACGGAGGAAGAAAACAACATGGTAACTGTTTTGTGACATGTTGATGTCTATTTTCCTTCTTCTTTTTGGTGAAATCTTGGCTCTTAAAGCATTGTGGTGCATGTAATTTTCAACCTCTCCCACATTCCCACAAATTGCAGGTGCAACGTCTTCAAGCTGAGTTGTCAGCTTCGAAGGAAGATGCTGCAAAGGTGTGTGCTAATCTGTTTTTTATATCATCATGCACTTCTGTCCAGAAATCGTTACGACATATATTTTCTTTTTTCTTTTTCAAACCCAATTCACTCTCTCAGTACATGGCACAGAAAGAAGCATTGGAGGAGCTCGTCAAACAGAGGGGAGCAACAGCAGCTGCATCTATGGAAGAGATAGGAGGCGAACAGATGGCGGTGGAGTTACGGAAGGCATACACGAGGGTGGACGAGCTGCAAGCATCAGAGACGGTAAGTATTTGATGCATGTTGGACGTTCAATTTTTCTCCCATCTTGCAGACTTCTCTCTCCCCCTGCTTGTCTACGCTCCACAATTTTTTGTTTCTTTCTTCACTAATTTGCATCTCTTTCTGTCTTCTTGATCCTCTCTCCACGTTCTTGTTACTGTACCTACCATACCCCCATATAGTTTCATATATGTCACTCTTCCGTATGTTGATATGATACAGGCATTGAAAACTCGGGTGAAGGACTTGGAGCAGCAGTTCTTGGAGGAGCGCGACCGTCGACAACGGCTGCATAACGAGGTGGAAGGTGAGGGTTATTGGATAGTGTGCATATGCAACGTGGCTGCAGCTAACGACGATGTTAATGATGGCGTAAGTGCAGTTAATGTTTGTCAAAATTTTCCATCGAACTCCTCTTTTCCAAAATGTCATTTAAAATCATTCGTTTCTTGTTGCCCCCCACTCATGCAGACTTAAAGGGCGGCATCCGTGCAATCGCACGATGCCGCCCGTTACAAAAGGGCCACACGGGGGTGCTTACATGCCGGGACAAGCACACCGTGTTGCATCGGTCTCGTGATGGAACGATTCCAAAGTATTCGTTCTACCACGTGTACGGTCCGGACGATCCACAGACGAAGGTCTTCGAGAGCATCGAGGTAAGTAGCAAGTCATTGATACAGTGACAAGTCGGGTGTTGTTGGCATGCTGTGGCAAGTCGGGTGGTGTTGGCATGCTGTGGCAAGTCGGGTGGTGTTGGCATGCTGTGGCAAGTCGGGTGGTGTTGGCATGCTGTGGCAAGTCGGGTGGTGTTGGCATGCTGTGACAAGTCGGGTGGTGTTGGCATGCTGTGGCAAGTCGGGTGTTGTTGGCATGCTGTGGCAAGTCGGGTGGTGTTGGCATGCTGTGGCAAGTCGGGTGGTGTTGGCATGCTGTGGCAAGTCGGGTGGTGTTGGCATGCTGTGACAAGTCGGGTGGTGTTGGCATGCTGTGGCAAGTCGGGTGTTGTTGGCATGCTGTGGCAAGTCGGGTGGTGTTGGCATGCTGTGGCAAGTCGGGTGGTGTTGTCATGCTGTGGCAAGTCGGGTGGTGTTGGCATGCTGTGACAAGTCGGGTGGTGTTGGCATGTTGTGGCAAGTCGAGTGTTGTTTGCATGCTGTGGCAAGTCGGGTGTTCTTGGCATGCTGTGGCAAGTCGGGTGTTGTTGGCACGTTGTGGCAAGTCGGGTGCTCTTGGCATGCTGTGGCAGTCGGGTGTTCTTGGCATGTTGTGGCAAGTCGGGTGTTCTTGGCATGTTGTGGCAAGTCGGGTGTTTCTTGGCATGTTGTGGCAAGTCGGGTGTTCTTGGCATGTTGTGGCAAGTCGGGTGTTCTTGGCATGTTGTGGCAAGCCGGGTGTTCTTGGCATGTTGTGGCAAGCCGGGTGTTCTTGGCATGTTGTGGCAAGTCGGGTGTTCTTGGCATGTTGTGGCAAGTCGGGTGTTCTTGGCATGTTGTGGCAAGTCGGGTGTTCTTGGCATGTTGTGGCAAGTCGGGTGTTCTTGGCATGTTGTGGCAAGTCGGGTGTTCTTGGCATGTTGTGGCAAGTCGGGTGTTCTTGGCATGTTGTGGCAAGCCGGGTGTTCTTGGCATGTTGTGGCAAGTCGGGTGTTCTTGGCATGTTGTGGCAAGTCGGGTGTTCTTGGCATGTTGTGGCAAGTCGGGTGTTCTTGGCATGTTGTGGCAAGTCGGGTGTTCTTGGCATGTTGTGGCAAGTCGGGTGTTCTTGGCATGTTGTGGCAAGTCGGGTGTTCTTGGCATGTTGTGGCAAGTCGGGTGTTCTTGGCATGTTGTGGCAAGTCGGGTGTTCTTGACATGTTGTGGCAAGTCGGGTGTTGCTGGCATGCAGTGGCAAGTCGGGTGCAGGCCTCCAAGTGACTTTTCACGCCCTATCATAAACTCGTAAAGAAATTTCCCGTTTTTCCTACCCTGCTGCCACATGCAGGGCTTTATTCAATCAGCTTGTGACGGTTACAACGTATGCATATTTGCATACGGACAGACCGGAAGTGGGAAGACGTACACCATGATTGGGAGTAAGGAGGAACCTGGCATGATTCCACTTGGGGTTCAAAAGGTCTTCAGTGTGATAGAAGGCAACCCTCGAGACTTGATCACCGCGGTGCATGTAAGTCGGTTACTACAAAAAGGCAAGCTTGAGCTTTTTAACCATTGTTTCCCCACATATCCAACATTTTTTTATCATACGTGTTTCACTGCCCAATTGTTACATGCCACACATGCAGGTGTACATGCTGGAGGTGTACCAGGACAAGGTACGGGACCTGCTGGATCCAACTTTGAAGACCGTCGAGGTTTCACTGCAAGGCCCGGTATGACCATTGTTTTTTTTATTCCACCATAAACGCTCATCCCGTCTCTTGCCTTTCTTGCTTCTTGTTCACGTGGTCATCTCCAGCCTCACATGCTCACATAATGTGTTTCATCTTTTTCTGCACGTGCACATCTCCTTCCTCAATTACCTTTTCTTTCTTTCCTCGCTCACCTCATGATGCCTCACATAAGCACTTCTTGTCCAGCATGGTCGTCATTCCTGCCTCAATTTCGATTGTGCCTTTAAGTGTACAACCTCATTTTCTGTCCATTTTCTTTCTCCCTGTTTGTTCAGAGGACGGTGGTTCTGAAGAACGAAACTCGTGTCGAAATAACCAGCGCAACAGAGTTGGAGAAGCTTGTTGAACAGAGCTTGACAAGGCGCGTTGTTGCGCAGACACGCATGAACGAGGCGAACTCGCGCTCGCACGTGGTTCTATGCCTCAACATTGCGACACGCGATGAGCAGACGGGCGAAATTGCCATCAGCAAGGTTGGTTGAAATGGGAGGGCAATGGTAGAGAATGACAGGAACAAGATCGAGAGGGGAGGGGGGAAAAATACGAGAGGAGCAGAGAGAGGAACAGAGTGAGAGTGTTAAAAATTAGCGCAGTGAGGTCCAGAGCAGGTTTGAGCAAGTGTGATAACTCACTCTCTCCTCCGCATAACCCCTCTTTTTCTTTTCGCTGTCATTACCCTACTGCAGCTTTCATTTGTGGACCTTGCTGGTTCGGAGAAGCAAAGCCAGACGGAGGCGGAGGGCATGCGGTTGGCTGAGTCAAACGCGATCAACTTGGGTCTTCTAACCCTCCACAAAGTGATTCGAGCATTGAACGAGAAGACCCTCCCCCCGTATCGCGAGGACAAGCTCACGATGGTGTTGGCGGACTCCTTGGGTGGCAACTCCAAGACCCTCATGATTGCTAATGTCTCTCCTTCGGATCAGCACTTGGATGAGACGAAGAGCTCGCTGAGGTAGGCACAAGCAAGCAGCAAGGCAGGCAGTCGTCGTAGGCAGGTGGGCAGCAAGGAAGTCAGGCAGCGAGTTAGGTGCACAATGGTGTTCTCTCTTCCTCCCCCGTCTCATCAACCTTTCCTTCCCCACTCCATCCTCTCCTCCTCCCTCTTAGCGCGCCTTCTTCCCCCCTCCGTCCTCTCCTCCTTTCCCCTCTTAGCGCACCTACTTCCCCCTTCCGTCCTCTCCTCCTTCACCCTCTCGTCACCCTTCCTTCCCCCATCTGCCAACTCCTCCTTCCCCTTCTCATCACCCTTCCTAACCCCTCTGTCCTCTCCTCCTCCCCTCTCTCATCAACCTTCCGTCCCCCCTCCGTCCTCTCCTCCTCCCCCTCTTAGCGCGCCTTCTTCCCCCCTCCTTCCTCTCCTCCTCCTTCCTCTCATCATCCTCCCTTTACACCTCCGTCCTCTCCTCCTTCCCCCTCTCATTACCCTTCCTTCCCCCCTCTGTCCTCTCCTTCCCCCTCTCATCAACCTTCCTTCCCCCCTCTGTCCTATCCTCCTTCCCCCTCTCATCACCCTTCCTTCCCCAATCTGTCCTCTCCTCCTTCCCTCTCTCACCACCCTTCCTTCCCCCATCTGTCCTCTCCTCCTTCCCCCTCTCATCACCCATCCTTCCCCCATCTGCGCTCTCCTCCTCCCCCCTCTCATCACCCTTCCTTCCCCCCTTCCGTCCTCTCCTCCTCCCCCCTCTTATCAACCTTCCTTCCCCCTTCCGTCCTCTCCTCCTCCCCCCTCTCATCAACCTTCCTTCCCCCCTCCGTCCTCTCCTCCTTCCCCCTCCCTCCTTTCCAAGGGAGGCAGCGAGGTAGGCAGGCAGCGAGGTAGGCAGGTAGCCACGCAGGAAGGCAGGTAGCGTGGTAGTTAGGCAGTGATGCGGGGATGCAAGGAGGGAGGGAGGGAGCAGGGAGACAGGGAGCAGGGAGGGAGGGAGCAGGGAGGAAGGGAGCAGGGAGGAAGGGAGCAGGGAGGGAGGGAGCAGGGAGGGAGGGAGCGAGGAAGGGAGGGAGAAAGGGGGATCCAGGGAGCGGGAAAAAGGGGAGGGTGTGGTTCTTTGAATTCTCCTGTCTCAGGATCTCATTTTCTGTCCGGTTTTTTTCTCACGTTTGCTGTTTTTCGTATGTCCAGTTATGCTGTGGAAATCCAGAAGGTAAAAAATAAGCCGAGCAAGAACGCGGTAGCGCCAACACCATCGAGGAACGCGGCAGCGCCAACACCGTCGAGGAATGCGGCATCGTCAGCGCGGAAGCGTCAACGCGGAAGTAACGACACATCCTGACGTTTGCCGAGGGGAGCTGGTGTTATCTACCTGATGCCATTGCTATGGATTCACCGATTGCAACTACAGTGACTACTTCTAGTCCAGTGATGTACATACAGATGTTGCTAATGACCTCATGTATGGTACAGGCAGTAGGTTAGGATACTGTGTTTTCACTTCTATGTTTACTTCATTACCATAGTTTCCAATCAACCCAAGCTTGAATGGTTGTCAATTATCACTTAACATGAAGTTGATCATGGCAATAATGCCAAGAAAACAAGAGGACAGGTGGGAGGACATCATTTGAACAGCACCTATGTTAAGACCTAATGAGTGCTGCTGTAGGAAAAGTGTGGTGGTGGTCTCTGGTGTCCGGTGACCACTGCACTGCCTTTGGGATCAGTGGCTTGTTGCCGTGCCACATGGGGAAGGGAAAGGTAGACACATGAGGCCGAAACAGAGCGTGCGAAATGGTGGAAATGGTCATGTGAGGCACGAAAAGCAGCGCAGGATGTAGAGGACATGGTGTTTTGCTTCCCTGACAGATTCCAGCAGGTTGACACCCTTGTCCTGCAGCGCTAACACCATCAACACCCTGCATGGAGGGGAGGCGTGGGATGGGGTGGGGTGGGGTGGGGTGGGGTGGGGTGGGGTGGGGTGGGGTGGGGTAGGGTGACGATGGGTGGTGATGGGTGGGGGCATGCATGGCAGTATGGGGCTGAGAATACACAGGGCGTAAGCATGGTGAATGCGTGACCAGAATTGAATGAAAGGTGGTTCAGTCAGCGCTGCAATGCGCTCAGCCTAGACCCTCAACCCTCGACCCTCCTGCATCCCAAGCGCCCACTCCTACAACCCCCCAACCAGCCCCCAAATGCCCCCACTCCACTACCTCCCCCCATGCAGCGCCCCCACCCCACCCACTCTGCCCCCCACCCTGCGCACATTTCGATGGAGTGGAAAGTGGTGAGCTGCTGTGCGAGGGGCAGCAGCAGGCGCTTGTCCTGCTCCCGAGCTCCTGCTCCCGAGCTCCTGCTCCTTGTTCAACACCGCCATGCGCTGCTGCCCCTCCCTCCGCTCCGCCCCCACCAATCCCACCATCCGCTGCACCCGCGGGTCCGGCCTGCAGGTGTGGAGCGCAGCGGGAAGGGATGGGGTGGTATGGGATGGGTTTGTGGGATGGGGTGGATTGGTGGGATGGTTAGTTTGGACTGGGAGGGGATGGGATGGGATGAAGAGAGGGGAACATTCTGCGATGGGGTGCTATCCTCTCTTTTCCAGGAGCAGGTGGGGGAAGTTTTGGTCCTGGACAAGAAGGAAGGACTGTGAGTGAGGAAGAAGGGGAGAACAAGACCAAGGAAGAGTGGGGGATGACAAACAAACAAAGCCCCACAGCCGATGCTTCAGCTACAGTCCCTCTCACCACACCCGCCCACCACAACCACCCTCGCACCTTGTAATCTGCCGGTCGGCATCATTCACCAGTGCCACCAAATCAGCCACTTCCATACTCCCCTCTCCCCTGCCGCCTTACCCTTTTCTCTCCACGCCCCCATCCCCTCCTCCCATCTCCTCCTCACTCACGATCCTCCTGATCTGGCGGTCAGCGTCAATGACGAGCGCCACCACATGGCATTGCAGGGCAGCGGAGGATGCGAGCAGAGACCCCTTGCGCTGCGATGGCACCGCCACTGTCAGCCCTGGCGTGTTGTGAAACACATGGAGGAGGGGGGAAGGGGATGAGAGCAAGGGGATGGGAGGGGGCGGCGAGCAGGGGGGGGGATGGAGGGGGTGAGGGAGGAGCGGAAAAATAAGGAGAGGGGGAAGGAAGGGAGGGGGTGCGGGAGGAGCGGAAAAACAAGGAGAGGGGGAAGGAAGGGAGGGAGTGCGGGAGGAGCGGAAAAACAAGGAGAGGGGGGAGGAAGGGAGGGGGTGCGGGAGGACGACGAAGAGGAGAGAATGAGGGAGGGAGGGGAAGGGTGTATGCAGATATGAGTGTGAATACAAACGACTCACGTGCAGCAGACTCCATTACTCTGAAGTTAACGTGTTAGTCAACATGGCTGGCACACTACTGAAGCTTGAAGCGAGGAAGCATCATCCCGCTTCAAGTGTAAGACGGCCTTCAAGCGGTAGTACGTCCCAGTGAGTTCAACTCACACGCACGCGTGCCAACTCGCTGTGACGCTCCCAGTGCATCGCAGCAGCGACCCTCACCATTGCTGTGAGAGTCCCAGCGAGTTCACGCTTGACCCTCCCACTCTGGGCCTCCCACTCTGATCTGAGCCATCCACTCTGAGCCATCCACTCTGAGCCAACAACCCTGAGCCAACCACTCTGAGCCATCCAGCAAGTCCCCTGACCTCAACGGACCTCACCTCACCCCGCCCCACCATACCTCACCTCACCGCATCTCACCTGCTTCTTCGCCCGGGACCGAGCAGCCAACTCTCTATTCTTGATCATCCTCTTCTGCCTCCTCTCCACAGGCGCCCCTCCCTCCTCCCCACCCCGCTTCCTCCCCCTCCGCCCTACACTCCCCCCCACGCCCCCGCTCAGAGTGTGTCCCCATCCCCTCTCCTCCCGCCTGTATCCGACTGCCCCCCTCCCCCTCCACCGTCACTGCCACCCCCTCTTCCCCCCACCCCATCCGCCGCCACCATGCCCGCCCCAGCAAACCTCCCCAAGCCCCCCTGCGCCCACAACTGCGCCCACACCTGCGCCCACACCTGCACCCACACCTGCGCCCACACCTGCGCCCACACCTGCGCCCATACCTGCGCCCATACCTGCGCCCACACCATACGTAGTGGGCACCATCCCCCCACCCATCCCCACGCCTCCCCCCACACCTCCGTCGATGCCCCTTCCCATGCCCATCCCCATGGCAATCCCACCAGGAGGGGCGGGTCCCAGCGACCCTATCGCTCCCCGCACTCCCATCGCTCCCCGCACTCCCATCGCTCCCCGCAGCCCTCCCAGCGACCCCAGTGGACCCCCTCCCTGCGCTCCCAGCCCTCCCAGCGACCCCAGTGATCGCCGCACTAGACTCTGCTGCCGCAGCGAGCGCGCGCGCAGCAGCCCCGCAGAAGAGGCGGAAAGGCGGAAAGGCGGACAGGCGGAGAGCAGAAGAGGCGGAGGCGGGAAGGCGGAATGGCGCGGAAGAGCGGATTATGCACAAATTGCGCGCCGATGCAAGTAGACGGTGACGACGGTACAATTCTTGAGGCACCACTAAAAGCGAGCGAGAGGAATTGTATTGTTACAAGGGTACGGTGGCTATGAGAAGTGATTTGCCTCAACTCTCTCTGCCGGCGCCGGCGGCGGATGAATTGGCGGTACTATGGGCGCAAGCGCCTTGTATTTGAAACGTTGCAGCGCACTTTCTCGTCTGATTGCGGTGAATTATTAAGCTGCTAACGAAACTGTCAGTAGAGTGGCTCAAAATCTCACGCACCTACCCCTGGCGCCTAACCCAGCCCGTTCCTATCGGTTCCTCCCATTCCCCTCCTCTCCCATCTTCTCGTCGCATGGTCGCATCGTCGCGAGGGTGAATGGCGCGGGGTGATCGCAGGGACGAGGCACGGGCACAAGCACGCCAAGGGCACAAGCACGCCACGGCACGGCCAGAAGGAGGAAGAAAATGCGAATTCTATAAGGAGCGAATCAAAGGAGGAGCGGCATACGGAGCTCCGAAGCGGGCCACGAAAAAAAAAAACCGGGTCCAGACGGGAGAGAGATGAGCGAGAGAAGAGGCGACTCGGGAATTCAAGAGAGCAGCAGAGTGAACTGCAAGCGGTTACGAGCAATAAATCTCTGCTTTGCTGCTGCTGCTGCTGTTGTAGTCTCTACAACCCGATAAAGGCGGACTCATCCCACCTACAGAAAGAATATGAAACTCCTTTCAATATGTCGGACTCATCTGACTTCTGGCCTGGTTGTTGCTGACGTGACTCACTCGCTTGATTGGTTCTTTTCTCCGCAGATTCCTAGGTTCTCGACTGTTGTATCTTATGCACGTATCATGTTCTATTAGGGAATGTCCAGCTCGTACATTTACTGTTAACCCATTCAGTTACCCCATTCAGCCCATTTGTAACACTGTAATGAACGTGTCCTGCGGACACAATCAGCTGTCGTTCACAAGACGGCACGCCCCTTGCACGTACCTCGAGTCGTCTGACTCACGTTACTGGAATCAGTGGGGACGCGAACAAGGGTACAGCACCGCGTCCTGGCCACTACAGTGAGTGCCCCATGTGTCGCTTGCACGATTTCGCCAGTGGCTCGCTACACTCGCCAACACCCCCTGCGCCTTCCCAAAAATTCTCAAGCTATGATTGACGAGGAAGAATGTTACCTCGTTTCGAACGCGGTCCGAGCACTGTTGATTCGTGTGGCGGGGAATGTGTCCGCACTCCTGAAATTACATGTAGGTTGGACTCAACTCACAATACATTCGTTGTTAGGTACAGTGATCATTTTTGAACCTCGAGACCTGTGTCGGCACTAAAAAACCCGAAATGAACGAACTGGACACGCCCTTATTTTCCCCTCGAGAGTCCCCCCCATCCCCCGAACCCCACTATTCATTTCATTCCGATCGAAACTAGTCATCGGATCTCCGCCATTCTTCTCAGCGCACGTAGACACCATCAGCAGCCGCGTCGCGCGTGATATAGTCGCCATCAACAGCATTTTTTCCGCCCTGGCATTGACTGCCGCCGATAAAACGAGCAATGCCGCCCAGTGCGGTTTCCGTGGTGATTTCCGCCGAGCGTATTCCTACTCTTCCGCGCTGCGTTCCCCGTTCCGCGCGACTCCGGCCCATGGCCCTCCGCGTCCACCCCGCCTTGCCCCCGGGAACCCACTCCCGCCTCTTGCCGAGTGTGACGCTAACGAGCGAACGAAATAGGTGTGTCGTCGCCGCTGAAACATTCACACGCAATGCGCGCTTTATCGCAAGCTGGAACGGTCTTCTTCACACGCTGCTGCGATATGAACCACCTTCCAAA